ATGGGAGGGGATGATAATTATGCTTGATGAATCCCACCGTATAAGATAGATAGGTACCTAAATAATATAACCCAATCATCTAAATTGTTCTCTTTTCATTTGAACTTAATATTGCTACATTATACATACCAATGTATGATGTATCTGTGTATATACGTTATTTTATTTGTTTATTGTATTTTTTGGTTTTTGATTTGTTGTCATCATAATTTTCAACTACAAGCCTATTGGGTTCTTCATGTCTATTTATATATGACTATATTATATTCGTTGTAATTGCGTTTTTATTAATCATTTTTCGACAGAATATACAAATAAGAAAAAAAAGTAGTTATATTTCACATCTTTATTATATTACTCAGTTGACTAGACGTAGTATAAAATATCATACAGCACTTGTTTTTTTAATATTGTTTAAAATTTTAAATTATTAGCTTAATAATTAATTTCAAATTTTCTTTCTCATTTTTAAGTATTTATGCTTTTATGATAAATTGATTATGACAGTATAATGACACACTTATTTATGACCTGTATAATAGTATTATTATATTATTATTGGATTTATTGATTTTAAACAGTTTTCAATACACTTGTACACTTAATACTATATAACAACAAAGGTCATAATACTTATCACGATAAAATGGTCTGTTGTTAAAACATTTTATTAAAATTAAAATGTATAATGTTACAGCACTTTCAGCATAGATTGCAGTCAAATCAATATGTCATTTAATATTATGTATAAACATGAATGTACATTTTTCTTTCGAGTCAGGTCGTCCAACTGAATAATTATTATATGCGTAACATTTAAGTAGGAATATAATTTATTTCATCCATTTCTAGTTAAAAAAAAATACGATTCAGCTCTAAAAACAGTTATTTTGAAATCATTTCAATCGAATTTTATTTACTCACCACTTGGCACTTATATCCCCTGCAGTTAAATGTGGACTTATATCTCTGTTATGTCTATATTATATTCTTTTAATCGTGACTAGCTGTACATCGCTATTATTTTTATCTATTGCAAATTAGTTGCACTCGAAATTCATCCAAATACATACGTAAGATGAGACCTCACAAGAATTAACATCATTTATGGAAAAAAAATAAAAACATAATAATATGAATTACATTTAAAACTATAATATAATCGAGAATCGTGTTACAACCTATAATGAGAAGTACACGTTAAGTCACATGTTTTTTTTCCTTCCCATTCGTTATGGTCGAATTATATACGAGTTTTACATGGTCAAATTAAATGTTAAAATTTCTAGAAAAATACAAATAATTTATCAAAAACTATTTTATGGACATTTTAATGTCATGAAACGTGTAGTTCTTTCAATTTACAGAAGTAAAAAAAAACTATCAAAAGATAGCATATAATATTTGCTGTGCGCCTATGCCCATTTTATCTATCTAGTTATAGTTTGAATAGTTTTACTGAAAATTATAATACATAGTTACATATTATTTAGAATTGTTGATTTATAGAGTAACATAGTATAGACCAACGGAATTTCAATAATGTTAATGATAATAGAATTATTAAATTAGTGGGTATGAAGTTATGTTATCACCACCATCTATATTCTATAGCTGTAAATTCGAAATGTATTGTCAACGCGAAAAACGTATTTTTTAATCATTAAGTACCGTTTAAGGTATAGCAATAATATAAAATTGTTATCAAAAAGTGAAAACTAATTTTATTATTAAATATCTATTTTAAATTTGTACCACAATAAAATGCATTTAATATTCTAAAAAAAAATGTTTCATTAAATATTAAACATATATAATTATATTATTATAAACACAATATGCATTTTAGTAATACAATAATACTTAATTTATATAAAATATAATATAATATTTGACCTAAATTATGTAGACATAAATTATAACCTACCAAAGAATGAATTCAAAATTCGGACTCATAGTAATTTTCGAACCAAAAAATAATGTTGATATAAATAAGTGTACTATGTATTATTGCAAAAATCATACCTGTATTGGCATATTTATAACGGAAATACAAGAAACAATCGATTTCTTTTTTTGATTATAAAAAGTACAATCCGATAAAAAAAATTTTATAGGTTTAGATTATAAATATATTAACAATAAATAATACATCAACATTTGTCAATGCCAACAAATAAAACCCATTCATCATTCGCCATCAACTGTTTCATCGCGACGTCCTGAAAAAAAATATAGGTATAATATTATGTAGTAGTTACATCAATATCAACTATATTGATTATTATTGTACCTACCTATTTATATATAATATATAAAATAATGATAATATCAATAATACAGGAATCTATAAGTTTAGTATAAAATTCCTCTCACCGTGAGATTTTTCTTCGGGCATAATACGAAGTACGAACCTTAGCGATACAAATGTTGAAATGCATATAATATACATAAATATAGTATGCTGTATATGCACATTGTGTATAGGACATAGCCAGATTGGTAATAGGTAATACTTGTTTATGCGATTGGTACTATAACAGTAAGTTACCTATATATTTTGCTATATTATACACTATCTATGCGTATTTCGCTAGATAATACAAACACATTCGTGTTATATTATTTGATGTAATATATGTATACGAAAATGTGTTTTCTGTAATAATATAATAATACATCATAGCTAAGACATAGGCATAATATTACGGATACTAATAAACTGCACGATAATGGAGTAATAATGTATCGTAACGTTTTTAAAAAATAGTTATTAATTACATTCTCTGTAGGTTTTAATTGATAGTAATATTATACAGAATCTCGCTCTATTCTAACTTAGTTATAATTATACTCTTCGGTACATGGTTTCGGATTGCTGATACTTTATTGAAACAATAATTTAATAATATAATATGTAATTCACTTCTCACGAAAATGTAAATACGTGTCATTTCATAACGACGAGTTTATGCTACAAAATATAAGCTCAAGGATAGAACGTGAATACCAAGCCTATCTACCTTGAAATCAGCTAGTAATATTATCATCTATGTAAATGTAAAACGAAACACTGTAAACACCAAACCTAAGACTGTAGGTCAGTAATCGCATTGATAATCGTCAAGTTGAAAGTACACTATATCATTTCAGTATACCTATTCCGGAACATTGAAGTTAAAAATAAATCTACTAACTATCGAACATCGATGTGTTTCACATTGTCGTTCGACACTTTACATAGTTATGAATAAAAAACTAACACCTACCTACATAATATTGTAATTACATTTTCAAATATACCCAAACACGATTAGTATAAACAATACGTGTTTACGGAGGCGACAAAGTCATGTACTCATACATTTTTATAATTAATCAATGCCAAACATTGCAGCCGATAACTTATCGATTATTCAAACGTATATTATTTTAATTTACAGGTCTATCTCGAACAGCTTGTCAGCAATCGACTAGATAAAATATAAAATGTCTGACATTTTTACAGTTACTTAATTTTATGTAGTTGAATATTTCACGTTTTTTTTTTTGATTTACTATTATTACCTATTTAACGAGTTTCAGTATTTTATAGATTAATTTCACTTTGTCCAATAATAATATATTACAATAAAAATAAATTGAATGTCAAATACGATACGGACATACCTATATATGGAAATAAAGCTATTTTTTCTTTCTCTTGATTTTGATTTTAAAGCTATACCTACCGCGAAACTATAATATAAAATAATATTATTTATCCGGTATTGTAATCCAATAAGAAGTTATACTGGGAGAACAAACATTTCATTCGTGAAATCATTCGAAATATTATAATACATATACTGTCAAACTTATGGTTAGTCAGGAAATGTATTATAATGATATATAGGTACTAAAAGAGCTTTGAAATAAAATTATACTTGTCCAATTTGTCCAAGCCAAAAGCCGCGGCACTCATCGATTAACACACCTTAAAATTAGATTAAATTTATTTAGGACTTTGGCAAAACTAGTTTGGCTTCAAAATTAATAGAAACCATAGGACAACTCTCTAGATGGGGCTTGACAGTTGCCGCAACGTATAAAGCGTTTTAACAAAAACAACGACTTTCATATGTATGTGTGTGGGGGTGTGTATACGTATAAACTATATTATATATATTTATTTAAAAAAAAAAAAAAAAACTTCCTGTATAATGTTTCAAACTATTTTATTATTCGATCGTTACATAATATTTGATTAATTGTTTAAAAAAAATGACTCATTTTATTTTTAATTATTATTAGGTATATCATTTACTTATTACCCATATTTATAGATAGGTATAGGTTTATATTTTAGGCATTAGGCATATACCTAAGGGTATACCTAATGGATAACATGTGGTTTATTATGTTTCCATCATCCCATATTGTGTTGCCTTCAGAGACATGACAGCACAGAACGCATCTACTATTAAAGTCTATAATAGATTTATACTAATTGAGCAATAAACTTGTATTTATCTGTGAAGAAATATTTAGTATTTACAACATAATAATATATTACTATTATTATTACTATCGTAACACGATCTTCCGTATATTATACAGCTTATAATGTCGAGTGTATCTATTTTAATAATATGTTAGTTCGGCTAGTCTTGCACCTGTACACATAAAATATCGATTGTATAAATCGTAATAGATAATATTATAATATGACATCGTATATTGACAGACAATATATTATAAGCGATCATATATATTTCGGAATACGAGATTACCTATAATAATCCGTATAATTGTACAAATATTAAATACCTACCAATACTCGTATGGATATAGATATAATTTTATCAATATGGGTCGAACTTTGTCAATCGAGAATTATAGTTGACTTCGAGTACTATATTTATTTACTTATCGCGTACCAATACATGTATTTTATTCGAAATTCCTCTATTTTTTTTTCAGTATTATAAAATGCCAATTCAAGAATCACACGCTACGAGATGACGCAGAGGGAAGATGTACTTAAGTTTGAACAGGGGCGAATTAAAGCCCTCCAAGAGGAGAGGCTACACATACAAAAGAAGACTTTTACCAAATGGATGAACTCATTTTTACAAAAAGTAAGAGCGTTTTGCGAGGATTTGCAAACCAAATCGGAGTGGTGTGCGCCCGTCGCCAAAATATATTTAATGTATTTTATTTGTTAACCGTATTATATAGGTAAGAATGGAGGTGGACGACTTGTTCGTCGACTTGGCGGACGGAAGAAAGCTTCTCAAACTATTAGAAATAATTTCCGGCGAAAAACTGGGCAAACCAAATAACGGGCGCATGAGGGTGCACAAGGTGGAAAATGTCAACAAAAGCTTAGCGTTTCTCCACACAAAGGTATTGTTACGAAAACGTTTTAGTGCATTTATCGGTTGTATTATCGTCAGCGCATTTAGGATCATATAATTGTGTTAAAAAATTTAAGACAATATAATTATTCACAAATAATCGTTATAGGTGAGATTGGAAAGCATCGGGGCCGAAGATATTGTTGATGGAAATCCTCGACTGATTTTGGGTTTGATATGGACGATTATCTTAAGGTTTCAAATTCAAGAAATTGAAATCGACGTGGTAAGTGGTGATCGTGTTTAAGACTCGACCATAATACGCATATTATGATATGATAATGTTGCTTATTAAATGTACCTATGTTAATATATTATTATAATGACATAATACTAACATTTAAAAAAAAATAAATAAAAAATAGGACGAAGAAAATGAAAGCAGTGAAAAAAAATCGGCTAAAGACGCTTTGCTCTTGTGGTGTCAGCGTAAAACGAATGGCTACAAAGGCGTCAACATACAAGACTTTACAAGTAAATAAAATATAACGAAAACAATAATATTTCATGAAAAAACCATAGAACACAATAAATACCTAGAGCTGTATAATAGGTGCTAGGTACCTACGCCATATTATGTTATAAAATATAATAACACGATGTTGACTCATACACAGGTTCTTGGAGAAATGGCTTAGGATTCAACGCATTAATCCACTCTCATCGGCCAGATCTACTAGACTTTCCGTCGCTCGAGAAGAATACCAATATCGACAACCTGAACATAGCTTTCGATGTGGCCAATAATGAATTGGGAATTCCCAGGTTGCTCGACGCCGAAGGTTAGAAACTGAGAGAAATATTGATATTATTATTGCAATGTTTTGTATGAAGGTACTAAATAAGTAATACTATCGTGTTTTGTTTGTAAAAAAAATAGACGTAGACATAAACAGACCGGATGAAAAGTCAGTAATAACGTATGTCGCTTCGTATTACCATACGTTCGCTAGGATGAAAAATGAAATGAAGAGTGGACGAAGAATAGCCAACGTAATGATTATTATTATCGACACTAAACGTTCTGAAAATTTTAACGAGCGTCTTGTTAATTTTACGTGTTTTCATGTGCAGTCAATAATTATAATAATATTTTATAAATATTTATTTTTAGATTCTCGGTCAACTAATGGATATAGATAAGAAAAAAATTATCTATGAACAACTGACTTCAGACTTGTTAGAATGGATACGGATGAAAATTAAAGAACTCGAAAATCATAATTTCCCTAATTCTTTAGAAGGCATCCAGCGTGAACTATTAGCATTTAAAAAATACCGGACTGTTGAAAAACCTCCCAAGTATGACCAGTTTGTTTTAAATTACATTTTGACGTTACATATTATTTGTTTCCGGTGTTCAGGTACATAGAACGAAGTGAAATTGAAGCTCTTTACTTCCATATAAATACCCTACTCAAATCGCTTAACCAAGGTGTGTTCATACCCCAAGACGGACAATTGATACACGATGTTGAACGTAACTGGGAAGCCTTAGACAGGGCCGAACATAAACGTGAAGTTGCTCTACGAGAGGAACTATTGAGACAAGAACGTTTGGAGCAACTCAATTACAAATTCGAAAAAAAGGTATACAAAACATTAATATCAAACTTGGATGTTAACTTAATACATTTTTATTTTGAATTTAGAGTGTCCTTCGAGACGGTTACCTAAAAGAAATGATCCAAGTACTGAACGATCCTAGGTTTGGCAATAGCTTAACTCAAGTCGATGCAACGGTAAAAAAGCACGAGGCTATTAGCGCTGACATCATGGCAAGAGAAGAACGGTTTCACGATTTGAATGCCATGAGTGACGAGTTGATTAAAGAAAATTACCACGGAGCTCAGAGAGTGAAAAATAGGGAAGAAGAAGTATTACAGAGATGGAAAGATCTTTTAAAACTTTTAGAAAGTCGCAAAATAAATTTGAACAATATAAGTACCATGTTTTCTATGCTTAGAGAGATAGAAACAGTTTTGTCAACCATACAGGTAATCTTGAATACCAAATAATATTTTAATGAAATAAGTATTTTTGAATGCTGATCTATAATTATATGGTTTACTATTATAGGAAATTGAAGTGACTTACAAATCTGAAGATGTCGGGCCTCATCTGCTTGTTGTAGAAGACTTATTGCAAAAACAAAACTTGACTGAAATGCAAACTACAGCCATTGGTGAAACCGTTCGAAGATTAAATAGACAAGGTCAACAATATGTACCCTCTAAACATAAAGATACCGCTTTATTAAAAGAAAGTCTGAATCAACTCAATACTGCATATGACAGGTAAATACTAAATGTTTTAAAATAAAAGTCAAAGTTTACTCATTATATAATTTGTACAGGTTGTCTGAACTAAGTAAAGAAAGAAGAGCTAGACTAGAAGAAGCAAGAAACTTCTATCAGTTCATTGAAGACCATGAAGATGAAGAAGCCTGGCTTGTCGAAAAGCAGCGAATTTGTAGGGCTGACATTTCCGCAAAAGATTTGAGAGGCGTATTAAGTTTACAACAAAAACATAAGGTTTGTTTTTAATGATTAATAACATTTTTAGTGTTCATATTGTAATAAAATTGTTTTATTAGGTTTTACTTGATGAGATGAAAGTGCATCGACAAAAAACTGATCAAATATGCAAATCAGGTCTGAGTATAAATGCCAGTGAACCTTCGGAAGTTCAATCGAGGGTTGATTCTTTACAAAGCAATTGGAATTCATTAAATAGCTTATCACAATTGAGAACTAAGCAATTGCAAGATGCAGCTGAAGCTTATCAAGTAATTTGTTATTTGTTATTTGTTAATTTTTAAATTTTATATTTATATTGTCATAAACATATTTTTAGTTTTATGCTGATGCAAATGAAACAGAATCTTGGTTACATGAGCATTTAACAGTACTAAGTACTTCTGACCACGGAGTCGATGAACCAAGTGCACAAGCTCTGTTGGCTAGACACAAAATACTTGAAGAAGAGTTAGATGCATATCAAGGAGACATACAGTCATTGAATACACAAGCTGACAATTTGATCAAAGCAGGAATATCAAATATTTTGGTAATTCAATTTATATTAGAATATATGTTTTTAATAAATATTAATTAAAGTACAAATTCAAAATTCCAGTTGTCTAATGATACAAATCAAAAGGTTCAAGCTGAACCAATAGAAGAATGGGTGTTTGAAACTAGGTTACTTCCTCAAGAAGTCTTAGAAGAAGAAATAATCGAACATGTTGAACACCGAACTGTTGTAGAAGAACGACAAGTACCTCAAGTAAAAAGTCTGTACCCATTTAATGGACAAGGCATGACAATGACCAAAGGAGAGGTATATAAAATATTGAAATAAGATTTAGAATAGAAAAATAAAAATAATATTCTGTTATAGGTGATGTTCTTACTAAATAAAACAAACCCAGATTGGTGGAGTGTAAGAAAACTAAACGGTCAAGATGGTTTTGTACCAGCTAACTACGTTTGTGAGGTTGAGCCTAAAATTATGCAAGTATCAGTTAGAAGGCCGCACGTAGTAAAAAGTACAAGAAAAGTCCCCAAAGTCAAAATGGTCAAACAAAAGGTTCGAGTTAAGAAAACTAGAACTCCAGAAAAAGATGGTAAACATATTAAAATGCCATAAATAAAATGTATTTTTATATGCATAACATTTTTTTTATATAGAGCCAACAAAGAAAGACGATACCAATCTTAACAATGAACGAAGTATTGAAAAACGTATAGCAATCATTAATGAGACTTACACAAAGTCACAAGACTTAGCAAAAAAGCGCCATGCCCTTTTAGAAGATTCTATTTGTCTTTATGGATTTTATCGAGAATGTGATGATTTTGAAAAATGGATTAAAGACAAAGAAAAATTACTGAAGGCTGAAGATAAATTAGACACTGTTGAGTCTGCAAAAAGAAAATATGAGGTACATATTTTGCAACTACAATCATGTATTTAAGTAATTTATTTATTATGCTTTATGGATAAAATTGTGTTATAGAAATTCTTAACGGATTTATCTGCAAGTAACAAACGTGTTGAAGATATTGATCGGGCGGTTAAAGATTTTGCCAACCTTGGACACAGTCAGCTTGATATGATTACCAACAGACAAAATCAAATACATACAATGTGGGATCATCTAAATTGGCTGAAAGCACAAAAAGAAAAGAGTTTAGAAGGAGCTCTTAGGTATTATAATATACTTTAAATTTATATATAAATATTAAATACTAAACATTTGATATATAACAAACAAACATTTTTGATTCAGTGTGGAACTATTTGAAAAAACTTGTGGTGAAGCCAGGGATTGGATGACAGAAAAAATGGATAAACTTGATGGCGCTGAAGTAGGGTTGGACTTAAAAACTATACAAGCACTACAGAGGCGACATTTAAATTTAGAAAGAGAATTAGCTCCAGTGGAAGAAAAAGTAAACAGGGTTAATTTATTGGCTAATTCAGTGAAGGTTTCTTATCCTAATGAAAAAGGTATGTCTGACACAGAATTCATAAACAGTTGACAATTATTGACTTATTTTATTATAATTTGTTCTTTTAGAAAATGTTATTCAAAGACAAAAAGAGGTTCAAGCCTTGTGGCAAAATGTAAAGAACAAAGCTTTGGACCGGAGATCTCGTTTAGAAAGTGCTGTCGGGCAGCAAATTTTCATGAATAGCTCGAAAAATCTCTTAAATTGGCTGTCTTCAGTAAAAGAAATGGTGAACACTGATAATTCTGCTCGTGATGTGGTAACAGCAGAAAATCTACTTAAAAACCATCAAGTATTACATATTTTTTTAAATATTATATCTCATAAAAACCAACACTTCTAAAATAATATATATTTACAATAGGAACTGGGCGATGATATTAGAGCTCATGAAGATGAAGTAAGAGAAGTTTCAGAACTGGGTAGACAGCTATTATCATCTGGTAACTGTAGTAGTAACGAAGTCAAAGAACGCAACAATAAATTAACTACAGAAGTAAATAATGTTACCGAAGAATGGGCTCAAAAAAAGGAATGGATAAAACAATGTTTAGCCTTACAAATATTTAATAAAGAAGCAGATCATATTGATGCAGCTACTTCTGGTAGCGAAATGTTTTTAGAATATGCTGATTTAGGAGTAAGAAGAGTTATTAATGTTTAAAATATATTTTAAGTTATTAAATAAATATATTTTTTAAGGGGTCTGTTGATGATGTTGAGGCGCTGTTAAAACGACATGAAGATTTTGAAAATTCACTTTATGCACAAGATGAAAGATTAAAAACTTTCTGTGAAATGGCAAACAAACTGATTTCAGCTAACCATTATGATACTAACCAGTAAGTAGACTATCATTTATTTCAAATAAAAATAATACATTCTTAAGTTTAGAATCTAAACCATCGTAATTTGTAGTGTTGATAAACGTAAAGAAGCAGTTTTGCATCGAAGGAATTTGGTAAAAGACCAAGCAGCAGTGAGGAGAAATGCTTTGATAGCAAGCAGAAATTATCAAGCTTTCCGAGCAGATGTGGATGATCTTAAAACGTGGCTAACAGATAAGTTGAAAACAGCAAGTGACGAATCATATCGGGATCTTACAAATATTGAGAGAAAACTTCAAAAACATGAAGCATTTGAATGTGAATTACGTGCAAATGAGGGTCAACTAAGGAATATCAATAAGGTAAACAAGATTTTTTATGTTTATCAATCCATATTGTGGACATATCGACAATATTGTATACTAATATAATTTATTTTTCAGTGTGGTCAAGGTTTGATAAACGAAGAAAATTACCGAAAAGATGAAGTAAAAACAAAGTTATCCGAATTAAATAACGACTGGAAAAAATTGGTCGAAGTTAGTGTGGAAAAGGGCAGATGTTTAAGACAAGCCGCAGCCCAGCATACTTATAACAGAACATTAGATGATGCATATTTTAAACATGAAGAGCTAAAAAAGGACTTGCAATCACAACAAGTGGGAACAGACTTACGACATTGCAAACAACTTCTTAAAAATCATCAAGTTGTAGAAACTGAAATCCAACATTGGAAACAAAAAATTGATGATTTAGTATTTGCCGGTGAAGAAATGGCTCAAGAAGGTCATTTTGATGCTGAAAATATATTACAATCTAGTAAAAAATGCCAACAAATGTAAGTATTTGTTTTATAATTTGCTCATCTACTTTGTAATAACATAATATTCATATTTAATGTCATATTATTAATGGTTCAGGTTTAATGGATTGGATAAACCGCTTAAGCTTAGAAAAGAAGCTTTGGATGAATCATTACGTTTTCACAAATTTGGTTTTGAGTTAGAGGCTGAACTTAGTTGGATACGAGAACATTTACCACTCGTCGAGTCTGGTGAGTTGGGTACTGATCTTCACCAAGCGCAAACATTGTACAAGAAACATAAAAAACTAGAAGCAGAAATACAAGGTCATCAACCTATGATCAATAAAACCCTCGAGTCAGGTCAATCGTTAATTCATCAGAAACATCCAGAAACTAAACAGGTAGTGTAAAATTTTTTAATTATTGTTATAGTTATTGTCTTAAAATTTAAATAAAAATTAATAAACATTAAACATTAATTTGTTTAGGTTTCATCATTATGTACTGGACTGAAAGATGCATGGCAAGATCTATTAGCCAAAGGCGACGATAGAAGTCGCAAACTAGAATTAAATTTAAAAGCTCAACAATTTTTCTTTGAAGCGAGTGAAATTGAGAGTTGGCTACTAGAAAAAAATAATATGTTATCTTCTACAGACTGTGGTCGAGATAGAGATGCAGCATCCAAACTTCTGACAAAACATAAGGTATGATGAATATATATATATTTTTATTTTTAGTTATCACTGTATAGTATATACTATATACTCATATTGGTTTTTTTTTTGTATATTTGTATCTTGTAGGCTTTAGAACTAGAAATTGACACATATGAGGGTATTGTCAAAGAAATGTGTCACACTGGAAATAATATGATGAACTTGAAACATCCAGATATTAAAGCTATATCGTCTAAACAGCAATATATTTGTGAACAATTTAAACTATTACAAAAATTAGCAACTGCAAGGCAACATAGATTAGTTGAGAGCATGTGCAGGTAAAAAATACAATTATTCTATACTTAATTTAATTGAACTGTACTAATTTATTTGTCTTATCTATTTTAGACATGAATATTTAATTGAGAATTATGAACTTGAACAATGGATTCGAGATAATATGCAAGCTGCATCATCTGAAGACTATGGCCAAGACTTTGAACATCTTTTGGTACGCAGTTAAATATACAATTAAAATAATATGTATTTTAATATAATAAATTCAATAATAGGTATTACAAAACAAATTTGATGATCTCAAACACCGGGTGGAAACAGGATCTAAAAGATTTAAACAGTGTGAAGATCTTGCTAATAAATTAGTAGCAAATGATTCAGAGTATACATCTGAAATTGAGAAACGGCAAGAAGAGATTAGTGAACTCTGGCAACAATTAATAGTTACAATAGAAAATCGAGAAAAACGCCTCAAAGCGGCTGGAGAGATTCATAGATTTCATAGAGATGTAGCTGATGCATTATCTCGGATTAATGATAAAGACGCAACTATTTCTGATGATTTAGGAAGAGATTTAAACTCAGTATTAACTTTAATCAGAAAGCATGAAGGATTTGAAAATGATCTTGTTGCTTTAGAAGCACAACTTCAGGTAAACAAACACAATATTGAAGTAAATTTACATGTTTATTAAATTGTTATTTCCATATTAGATTTTAGTGGAAGATGCTGTTAAGTTACAAACACTCTACCCGGGGTCAAATGCTTCTCATATTGCAAAGCAACAAGAAACCGTAGTTCGAAGTTGGACTTCACTTCAGGATCGCTCTGCACACAGGCGAGAAGCTTTACAAGCTAGCTGTGATTTGCATAGATTTTTAGCTCAAGTAAATTTTGTTATTTTTTTTTCTTTCATTTTGATTTGTATAATGGATTATCACACTGATTGTGTCATAGGTCAGAGATCTAGTCAATTGGTCTAGTAGTTTGAGGGCTACTATGTTAACAGAAGAAAAAGTAAGAGATGCGGCAAGTGCACAGCTTTTAAAAGGAGAACATGAAGCTGTGAAAGCTGAAATAGAAGCTAGAGAAGAAACTTTTCAAACTGTTGCTGATCTTGGTGAAGCATTAGTACAAGGAGGTCATTTTGCAGCAAATGTAAGTGTATATACATGGGTCTGGGTCAAAATCATACCAACTCCTGACATATCCCAAAAAAAATTATTGGAGGTCCTATAAGGCCCCACCTAACCTAAGCACTTAATACTTTGTGAAAAATTAAAAGTAAAAAAATAAAAACTGTTGTTTTAAGTCACCTGAAACTTATTTTAACATGCCTTCATTGTAAATTAAAATACTTTAATAGTGACTTGAAACAATTTATTTGTTTTGAAATATATCAAAATAAGTTACCAAAAAAAAACAACTTTTAAAAGATTAAAGTAACAGTGATTTAGGATTTTCCTTGATAAAATAAAATAAATAAAAACTTCTTTTGATAAACAATTTAAGTTAACACAACTACCTAATAACAATAATTGAAGTAGGTACTTAAATACTAAATAAAATTATTTAATTAAAAAATAATAAAAAAAACCACTTCATCAGTAGTACCACTAGTACGGTATTGTTTCGAGTGACATTAAATTTTTGTTTTTTTAATGTAACTGATCACCTATAATCAAAAAAGCATTTATTTTTAATTAAATAAATATTCGTTTGAACTACTGTTCAATGTATTATGATATACTTACAAACATTACAATTTGATGTTCTTCGTATAAATCTAGAACCCTTTTAAAAGTGTCTTAGTAAGTTTCTTATTGTATTTTATTTTTACTAGGTTACTAGATTAAACTTGTGTAAGATAAGATAAAATTATTTTATTTTGTCGGGATTTCAAATTGTCGAGAATTTAAAATTTACTATTTTGAACTGTCGACGTTTTAAACTGTTGAACTTTTGATTTTTTGGGATTTTTAACGCCCCCATCTACATTTCTATTTAAATTTTTAATTAAATTTAATTTTAAAATGTGTATACAGGAAATTCAAGAAAAACTCAATCATTTATTAGAAGAACGACATCAATTGCATTCTTCTTGGCATCATAAAAAAGTTCATCTTGATCAACTTATTGATTTGCAATTCTTCCTCCGTGATGCTAAACAAATAGATACAATTTGCAACACACAAGAAGTAGCATTAGCAAGTTTAGAATATGGTATTTTTATTTATATTTATTAACAAAATACAAAAATAATAAAAATGCAATTCTATAATCGGTTTAATTAACTTTATTTGTCTTAGGAAATACTGTGGATCAAGTAGCTTCGTTGGTAAAAAAACATGAAGGTTTTGAAAAATTATTTGAAACCCAAGAGGAAAAAATTTCCCTCCTACAAGATCACTGTCATAAATTACTCAGTCAAAATCATTTTGAAAGTGATTTGATATCTAAAAGACTGAATGAGGTTTTAGCTAGGCGAGCGCAAATTCGAAAACTAAGCATTTTAAGGAAACAAAAGTTAGACGATGCTTTATTGCATGCCCAATTTCTACGTGATGTTGGAGAAGCTGAATCATGGATCAGTGAAAAACGTAAAAAGTTGGATGTGGAAATTAGCAAAGGTGATGTTAACAACTTGGAAGACAAAATCAAAAAATTACAAAAACATCAAGCGTTCCAAGCTGAACTTACTGCTAACCAAGGAAGAATTAATTCTATAAAAAATAATGGTATGCTTTTAAATATAGTAGATTTTTTTTTTACAATATATTATTTAGTAGATATTTACATTTATTTGTTTATTTTTATAGCTGATATGTTGGTTGAAAAGAAGCACAAAAACTCAAAGGACATTCAAGATTCTTTAGGAAAGCTTTTAGTTTTATGGAGAAATTTGTTACAAGAAACTAATGAAAAGGGCAGAGGTTTAGAAGAAGCTCAAGATATTTTAGAATTTAATAACCAAGTTGATAAGGTTGAAACGTGGATTAGAGACAAAGTAAGATTATATTATTTCTATTAGATTTAATTTGACATATGCACATTCACATAATGCAACAATAAAATATATTATGACATTTATTTGTAGGAAATGATGGTCCAAGCTGGAGAAATGGGTTTAGATTACGAACATTGTTTAGCATTGCAAAGGAAACTCGAAGACATTGATAATCGAGTTGATGAAGGAAAAATAGAAACAATTAATAATTTAGCTGATAAACTTATTAGACAAGGGCGTAGTGATACACAGTCAATACAACAACGTCGTCAAAATCTAAACAATAAGTATGAAGAAATTAGTTGATTAAAAATATATTATATTAATATAATATAATATCATCAATTAGCACATATTAATTAAGAACTATGTTTTCTTAGGTGGAAGGCACTTCAAGGAGCTTTAAGTGAATACAGAGAACACCTAAATGGAGCCCTAGAAATACATTCATTCAATCGGGATGTTGATGATACTTTGCAGCGGGTTAGTGAAAAAGCACTTGCAATGTCAAGCAACGAAACCGGCAAGAATCTGGGTGGTGTTGAGCAATTACAAAGAAAACAGGATGCTCTAGAACGAGATATGACAGCCATTGAAGGAAAAACAAAAGAACACGAATCTGAATGCAGGCGCCTCATTCAAAAATATCCAGATATGACTTCTCCGATCAAAGCTAAACTGTCTGAACTACAAGATAACTGGAGAAACTTGCATATGTTGTCGAAAAAACGACGAGAAGCTTTAAGTGATGCATATATTAGAGAAAAGTTTTTATCAGAGTTAAAAGAAGCTGAACTTTGGGTTGTTGATTCAATTAAGAAAATTAAAGGACATGATATGCCCACGAATATGGCAGAAGCAAAAGCTTTATTAGAATTAAACCAAGAAAGAAAAGCTGAAATCAATGGACGCCAAGAACACTTTAAGACATTAAAAGAATCTGGGTTGAAAATAAATCCAATTCCTGAGAAAGAACTTGCTCATCTCGATGAACTACGCAGAACATTGAGTGCAGCTTGGGAAGAAAGAAGAACTATATTAAGCCAAGCTCTAGAACTTCAAATATTCAAAAATCAAGCAGATCAAGTGGACAATTGGTTAGCATCAAAAGAAGCATTTTTGAGTAATGACGACCTAGGGGTGAGTAACTAATAGAGTAACTAATAATAATTACTTAAATATTTACTTAAAAAATAAATAAAAATTGTCTGAAAATAAATTTTCCAAAAAATGTAGGAATCATTGTCAAGTGTGGAAGAATTAATACGAAAACACGAAGCTTTTGAAAAAACATTGACAGCACAACTAGTCAAAGTTGAAGAATTAGAAAAGTATGCTTTAGATCTTGTCACAGGCCAACACTATGACAGCAATGGAATACAAGGTCGATTAGTCAGCATATGTAATAGAAGAGATAGACTTAAAGAAGCTACAGCTTCTCGCAAAAGACGTCTAAACGATTCCAGGCTTTTACAACAGTTCTTAAGAAATATGTATGAGGTAAATGAAATCGAATAACTTAATGAAAGATATATTATAAAACAAAAAAAATTATATTAACATTTATAATTTTAGGTGGAAGGATGGATAATTCAAAAACAACAAGTAGCTGGAGATGAAAGTTACAGAGATCCTACTAACTTACAGCGAAAAATGCAAAAACACGCTACTTTTGATTCAGAATTAATTGCAAATCGTACTCGTGTTAATGCTATTTGTACTGAAGGTGAAAACTTGATCAGTAGTGGTCATTTTGCGAGTATGGAGATTCGAGTAAGATTAGATGAACTTGAAACGAAATGGAGACTATTGCAAGAGATGAGTTCTCTTAAAAAACAACGATTACAAGATGCTTATCAAGTAAGCATTACTTTTACATTTGTTAAATATTAATAAAAGTTATCAATTTATCATAAAAATATTTTACTTTTAGGCATTATTGTTTAACCGTACATTAGAAGAACTCGAAGCTTGGACAGAAGAAGTAGAAATGCAATTGCAATCTGAAGACCACGGAAAAGATTTGCAGAGTGTTGTAAACCTGTTGAAAAGACATTCGCTGTTAGAGAATGATGTTCATAGTCATGGTGAAGCTTGTCAAACTCTAAAAGATACTGCTCTGACTTTTCAAAATTCTGATCATTTTATGAAGGATGAGATACAAGAAAAATCTCAGGCAGTTCTTAAGAGGTATGTAACAAAAACAAGCTCGCTTCGTTTATTTTGTCATAACTAATTTAAATGATTTACAGATATAATTCTCTTCAAGAGCCAATGCAAATACGAAGGGATAATCTAGAAGATGCTCTAATAAATTATAGGCTGTCACGAGATATCGAAGAAGAAGTGACTTGGATTAATGACAAGGAACTGCAAATCAACTCTCATGATTTTGGCACAAGCCTACACTCAGTACAGGCATTACAAAATAAACATCAGGTTAAAATAATTTATTAAACAATAAATCTTTATTATGTAGGTACCTATTATAATTCTTGAATAATCATTTTTTTTTTTTTTTTTTTAAAGGCTTTAGATGCTGAATTAATATCTCATGAACCAGTAGTCGCTGCTTTAGTTGACAGAGGTCAGCAAATGGTTCGTAGTGGTCATTTTGCATCACAACAAATTGAAATAAATTATAGTGTCCTTCAAGAAAAGATGTCCCGACTTAAAGAACAATCCAAGATCAGAAAACAAAAATTATTAGATGCTTACGAATCACAAATGGTTAGTATTAATTATTCCAATTCAATTAAATTAGTTTATTATTGTTAAAATTAATAAATCTAAATATATTTCTAATTCTATAGTTCTATGCGGAAGCAAATGAAGCTGAAGTTTGGTTAAAAGAAAAATATCCTTTATTGGCATCCAACGACTATGGTAGAGATGAAGACTCTGTACAAACTCTTATGAAAAAACTTGAAGGAATAGAGAGAGAACTGAACACATTCCAACATACTCTTGAAAGATTAGCAAAATTAAGTATGAATCTTGTAAATCGATCACATTTTGATTCTGAAAATATTTTACGAAAACAGGTAAAACAAAAAAAATATTACTTTTTCGTTATAATTATTAATTGACCTTTTCTTTAGACTGATATCGAAGAAGTTTACACAGAGCTCTGTACATTAAATAAAAGAAGAGCAACTAGATTAGTAGAGAGTCGCAAATTCTATAAGTTTATTCGAGAAGCGGAAGACGTTGCCGAATGGATAGGAGATCAAACAACAGTTGCTGCCTCAGAAGATTATGGTCGAGATGTAGAGCATGTGGAACTTTTGATCCAAGTAATTGACTTTAAAAAAAAAAATGCATTCTTTTAGTCAGAGTATAATTTTAATCTATATTTTAGGCATTTGATAGCTTCATGAGCGGTTTAAATGGTAGTGAAGGGCGTATCTCAAGTTGCATAACCATTGGTCATAAGTTACTTGAAGAAAATAATCCTGAACAAGATCAGATTAGAATAAGATTAGAAGACACTCAGCAACTGTGGGATGATTTAAAAGAGTTAGCAAATGCTAGACAAGAGGTAAATATGTTTTAAATTCTAAGCGAAGCGATCAATTGTATTGATCTTACAATGATGTGTGGTTTTTTGTGTGTGTGTATGTGTACACTGTACACAATTTATAATAGAAAGAATGTTTTATTTTTAACTTCAATATATTTTTTGGTTGGAAAGTGAATCTAGTTAGTACATTTAAGAGGTCAAATATCTGTATATCTTATATACCTACAAGGCTTCAACAAATAAATTATTTTAGTTAATATTACAGATTTTTAAGTATTTATTATTTAAAATTATTATAAATGTTTTATAGATTTCTTATATTAACCATTAATATTATTTATAACTAAACTACTAACTAGTATTAATAAGTTCTCAAATGAAATATTGGATGGATTATTGGAATGGTACTGCTACCTGTTGCTTCAAGGGCTGAAAATAAAAACCTATCTGTCAAAATTAATTTTATTTTCAATTAAAAAACGTTTTATTCTCAAATCATCTTTCTCTTAAATGTACTGTTGATGTTGTGTTGTTGTTGTTGTAAAGTATATACCATAATAGTATTTTATGAATATTTTGTGTTTTATATTATTCACAAGAATAATCATAATTAATTACAGCTAATGCTTTACGTTAATCTTAATTTTACCGAAAAGGATTTCGCTGTAGTATACACTCGTTAGATATACTATACCACCTTGTCAGTGTATTAATTATATGAAATACAATAATGTTAATCATAAATCGTATTATTATTATTGTTTTTGTTTATGAATAATATATAATTGAAATTTGATTTATGTCCGTAAAAATAATTAAATTAAAATTTTAAAATGTTAGGCTCTGATGGGTGCTAAACAAGTGCATGTATTTGACCGAACCGCCGATGAAACCATCAGCTGGATTCAAGAAAAAGGTGGGTTGTTGGCTGCCGAAGATTACGGCCATGATTTAGATACAATACAAACTCTAATCCAAAAGCATCAAGGTTTTGAAGCAGACCTCGCTGCAGTCAAAGAACAAGTACTGTTTTACTAAAAAATACTAATTATAGGTATAATTATTTACATTTGATTTATATTTTATTATTGCTCATCAGGTGGAATGCGTCGTACAAGAAGCCGGTCGGTTGTCAGCCATGTTTCCGGATGCCAAAGATCACATCGAAGTAAAGCAGGAAGAAGCAGTGGATGCTTGGACCACGTTACTAGAAAACGCGAGTCAAAGAAAGAGCAAGCTGAACCAAGCAGAACACTTGCAGTCTTACTTCGATCAGTATAGACACTTGATGTGAGTAACTTCGAAATATGTAATACTTACTTTATTTCTAATAACGTGTATTTTGTTTATTTTTTAATGTTACCTAACGGACATTTAGCGCGTGGATAAACGAAACCATTGCAAAAATCACTTCGCCAATGCTCAGCCAAGAGGTGAGCGGTGCGGAAATGCTCATACTGCGTCACCAAGAATACAACGCCGAGATCAACAGCCGATCTGAAGTGTTGGGCGAGTTCTATCAGACCGGTAGAAGTCTCATTCAACATGTTCGTATAGATACTTGACATATCATAACTTTGGTCTTTCGTGCCAAGTACCTTACCTATTACTATATAATAATCCGTGATATTTTAGGGTCATTTTATGTCAGACGAAATCAACGAGAAGATCCACATTCTCGAACAAAGACATTATTTCATGACTGACACTTGGGAAAAACGTAAAATCTTGTACGATCAAAATTTGGATACGCAGGTATGTACAAACCATATATATATTATATATTAGCTCTCGACGAGCAAACTATAATATTATGTCGGTCGAGAATTACTTTGAATACGACGCACGTTCCGTCGGGGTATGTTATGTTTTAGCTGTTTAAACGTGACGCTGACCTACTGGAGTCGTGGATACAAACCCGAGAACCCGTGTTAAACGACGACAAACTGGGCGACTCCATATGGCAAGTCGAAGAACTCATAAGGAAACACGAAGACTTCGAAAAGACAATCGAGGCGCAGGAAGAGAAGTTCGATACGCTGAAAAGGATTACTCTGGTAAATGTTTTTGCCAACTAATAGATTATAACTGAAATTGAAAACAAATGCATGGGATGAGTAATGAGTATTGAGGACAATGGTTAATTAACTATTATATGTACCTATTTAATACAATATTAGATAATTTTTTATACATTAATTTTGGTTAATTAAACTTTAATCACTGAACTTCACAAATCCCATGGTTAATTAATTTCATTATATTTATATTATGTATTGTATCTGTGCAGTTGGAATTAGCGTTCAAGGAACAACTGGAGACCGAAGAACGGGCCCGCGTTGCGGAAAAAGAACGAATGGAACGAGAGCGGCTGGAAGCGCGCAAACAACGCGAAGTGCAGCGCATTACAGACGTAAGTTCGTCCTAGGATTTATAATTTCGTTTTTTTTTTTAATGATTTTTAAAATTGTTCATTTTGCAGGAGAGAAAGAAAGAAGGCGACCGGTGGAAGGTCAACAATGCTGGCGAAACGATGAACGGCGACGATGACGATTTCGACCCTAACATGAGGTACGCTATTCAATTGAAATATGTATTTTTTTACAAAGCTTTTTATACGGTTAAAGTTATTTAGTTCTTGTGAAACTATTTGGTGAATACTCGCATGGAACGTTTTGTTTCTTTTGTTGTCTTTATTTTTATAGTTTGATAAGTTCATTTTAATAAGAGTTTTCATAGAAAAAATTATACTAACATAAATTACATTTTATAAGATACTCGTGGCGTACCCTGTACAAATACTATGTTATTATTATTTGAATTTTTTTTATGGAATTGTCTTGTTTTTTTGATTTTTTGCTTAAGAATGCATGATAAAAATATTACGCATGAAAACGATCTAGTAGCGCCGTTGAGATCGCCAGAAGCATTGAGAGTCAAAAATGCTTCACCTATAGACGAAGACTCGAATACGTAAGTTTATGTTTGCTAGTTTATTCGCTCTCGTCTAATGCTATCAATATACTAATGCTTTTACAAATTAATGTCACATAAACATATAAAAATCGTAAAATACCACCAATTGTTTTTATGAGCTATTATGAATTTTTATTTTAATATATATAGGCTCATGGTTCCCGGCTCACCAGCGTTAAACAACAGTGGTAATTTCTCTTCAATATTTGGAAATCGTTTGAAAAAAGGTAATTTCAAAGTAAAACATATACATCATATTATAAAACTTGTTTATCTCTCCGAGCGTATAATGTAATATAATATTTATATTTAACGAAAATCTTAAATTTATATAATGTATAAATAATAAATATAAATGTGTGCTTTATTGTATGTACAGACGTAAAAAGGGCTGAAAGTATGAAGGCAGATGTGTACAAGAAACCCAAACGAACGCCCAGTTTTACCACTCGTAGGAGAACTCAGAGTTTCCGAAAACTTCAAAAATTGGAAAACGTAGACCAACTGCCCCCGGTAGAAATACAAGGGTTTTTGGACAGAAAGCACGAATTGCAGAGCACCGGGAAAAAAGCGGCTGTCAGGTCGTGGAAAACTTTCTACACAGGTGTGTGAAAACTAATGATAATTGTTTTCTATAAATATAATTCATTGCATACGTATAAATCGATTACGAATGGTATTATGTTTACCATAAATGGTCGAGATTTAAATAAAACCGTGGTTGTTTACATTGTTTGCTGTTATATTATGGTGTTATGTAATCACTGAATGTTTAAAAATGGTAAAGAAATTCACTAAAAATGTTCTTATGGGAGTACCTTGTGTTATTATTAAGTGTGGTTCTAATGTGTGAAATTATACTATGTACCTACCCCGCAAAGAGTGTTATCCTATAATAACAATAATACATCACGTCTCTGTAAACCTGCAATAATCATTATCTCATTCAGTATTACAATGAATTAGGTACCTAAATATATTATACTAATAACGACAATCTAAAAAACAAATTCATAAAAAAATGTTATACTTTACTACACCTAATGTAAGTAAAAATAATGATGTAATAATCATCGTGTCGTTGTGTACAGTGTTGTGTGGTCAGCTGTTATGCTTCTTCAAGGATCAGGAGGATTTCGTGTCCAGTAAAGCGGCAACGTCACCAATCATTGTGTTCAAAGCGAAATGCGAAAAGGCGTTCGACTACACGAAACGGAAGCACGTGTTCAGGCTATGCTGCACGGACGGTTCAGAGTTCCTCTTCTTGGCCGACACGTCCAAGGAAATGGAAGAGTGGGTCAACAAGATCACGTTCCACGCTCAACTGCCTCCCAGCCTGCAGCTTCTGAGCTACGACGACAACCAAAAGGTGCGTACTTTCCTATAAACGCCATACATACCAAAACCAAACTGTCGAGCACACACTGCGGAGTTTTCCACATCCATATAGACGATTTATCGATGTGTAATGTTATGAACAGGGCTCGGGACTTAAAGCATTTGCTTATTTTTTTAGATTGACATAAAATGTAGCAGAGTACTATAGAAGTGTATGTCATGTTACAACACATTCAATTATGAAATTTGAGAGTGCTTTTTTTTGCTTTTTTCAGTGATTTTTCAAAAAAATGCTTATTTCAAGTTTTTATGATATTTATTGCTTTTTTGACCAGTTTTCATACTTTTTTATGGTTTTCTACTGCAAAGTTGTTTTTGATAGAATTAAAATTAAAAATAATTTAAATAAAAAAATTTATTAAAACTTATTAAAAAATTATTTTTTTTCAACTATTTGTAAATATTGTTTACATTTTATTTTTCAGAAAATCCCTTGGAAAATCCATAAAATCCTCAGTCCTGAAAATGAAGTTTAATTTTTTTTATAATATAAAGATAAATTTTTATTTTTATTTTATTGTTTTTTTTTTTTAATAAATATTTTTGCTTAAATTTAAGTTTTTTAAATGCTTATTTGGGTGCTTATAATGATGTTTTTAAGTGCTTATTTAAGCGCTTATTTTAATGATTTTAAGTGCTTTAAGTCCCGAGCCCTGGTTATGAACAATTTTAACCAATGAGGAGGACTCCGTTGAATTGTCACATAATATTAGTCATCTTGTGTTAAGTTATCTTTATTAGTTAAATAACAATAATACAAATCTCCCCACAGGGTTCGCCGCGATCGGACCTACAGACTCCGGTTCCGTCGACGGTCATCAGTACGAGTTCGAGCGCGGCCTCGACGCCGGAAACCGAACGCAAGCCCCTCGCACCGCTGCCACCTGTGGTAAACGCCCGGAAAGACAGCCAACTCCGTCGACCTATACCGGTGCGACCGCCTTCGGTGGACAACATACCGTACCATAACAATCACTCGGCCGTCGGTAAGTTCATATTATTATTATTACGTAGGACTAGGTAAAGAGATTTAAAACGGCCAACCCGACCACAATCCGCTGGCATCATCGTCTGTAAAAAATATACATTAGATGTATCGTTGTAGACTTCGGAAAAAAACTCGTTATTTCCGTTACCTCTTTTTTTAGCTCAGCAGATTCGTATGCCGAGGATACCAGCGAGGTTTATAAAATATTTTTGGTTTTTTTAAATTTACAATGCTGCGATTGTGTGCAGCTAGGCTATCCGGCTGTATGTTTATTATATGTGTGTATACAATTAATAATACTTACATACGTTTTTTTTTTACTTTTTGTTTCCAGACGCCACCGATTTCAGTACCAAAGCATCGCCGTCCGGATATCCCGCGCGCCCACATTCCTATTACGCGAACGGCAACAACGACTGGACTAAGGACTCAATCAATCCCAAGTCACCAATCCACCCCAAGTCACCAGGTTCGTTATTAAAGTCTATGCACTCTGGCAGTATTATTATATACGTTTTTAACGATTTACAATAAAATGTCATCCCCATATCGATAGATGTACGATAGCTTTACGGTCGTGTTTTTATTTTTGCAGAAGTCGCCCCTCCACCCTTACCGACTACAGCGCCACCTATCAAATCGGCTAATAGAGAAACGTGGACCTCGGACTATAGACACAGTGCCGGTGAGTTTTTCTCAATTGTTGAGTGATGATCTTTGAAAACTAAAGGTTTTTTGAGATCAAAATATTATTACCGTGGTATAAATAGGTACAATATGTTCCACGTAACGCCTTCTCAAAATAGGTTTTCTATATCACTCACTGACAGGAGATAATTCTCAGTTTGTATACAGATCAAAATTAAACACTCGTATAAATGTATAGCTAGATAGTATGCATCAACATAAATATATATCTCCTATTGTAGAATGGCCTATTTTGCCACTGTTGGTCTTGGAAACCTGTATGTTTATCTTATTTATTTTATTTTATATTATACTCTAATATTAGGTTACCATTGTCCATTTTTTCCTGTACCTATACATCAAATACAAATTGTGCATTATATTCGTACATTCCTCAGTTTATTTTTTCATATTAAGTCCTACTACACGCCATTTCATTTCAGACTGTTTTTTTAATGCGATAAAAGTAAAGCAATATAAGCGCCAAAGATTTAACCCATGCAGGATTTCTATAACAATTCAAAAAATTTAAATGAAAATGAAAAATATTTATATATTATTATTACACGTCGTTTTATATTATAATAAATTATTCTGAATATTATACATACATACTTACATACGGTAGTCTGTGTTTCTTGTGATGTTTAAAAATCATTATTATGTTGGTCTAGTAATGCATTAACACAATAATATAATAATTTAAGAAAGTCTGGACGAATTTCAGCAGTATAGGTAACCGATTTCTGTTATCAGACCATAATAGTCATATTAGTAATCTCTGTTAGGTATTACCTACCTATATAGTTTATATGCCTATGTCTATTTTATTTTGTGTTAAACTTAAGATTGCATAATACTTGAACCCTCACGGTCGTTTACACTAATAGACGAATAAATGAATAATCTATATAAACGACGACGTGTATGACCATGTTTTTTCTTCGATTTTTACAGTGTACGCGAACATCGACGCTCTCAAGCAGCCACCGCCGCCGGTGCCGAACAGATCGGCCACGTTGCCGGTGACGACGAGCAGCAGCCAGCAGAGGGCCAGCGAGAGTTCCAGCGAGAGCGAACACCAGATGCCGATGGGCCGCAAAGACAAGCGGTCCAGCGTGCTTTCCAGCCTTTTCCGCAAGAAAAAGGCCACCAACCTGTAAACGAGCTGCACCTATAACGGCGCCTCGTCTGCAATATAATATTATTCTGATCAATTGCCTATATACAATAATCAACGTTTTCCTATAGATTATAATATTATGTACTCAATCGCGGTGATATGTCCGCCATATGTATATAATGTACGTATGGTAGATATACGTTATTCCAAGTATAATATTATTGTTTTTGCCCACGTTTAATAATATATTATTATTATGAATCGCATTGTCTGAACGGTGTCGGAATTGGAAAGTGAAAACCCGTGTCGAGGGTTTGAAAAAGGTCGAGAGATCGCTTTTTCGAAAATTCGTGAAAAATAATGGACGAAAAAAATTACGTTTCGAAACGTCTCTTGACGATTTACAACTATAGGTAATTATAGTAGTCAGATGTACCTATGTATAGGAACTATATTGTATTTATATTTTTCAACTTCGACGATATAATATATTATATTTAACACGAACCACCACGATCACTCCCATCGCCTCCTACGGTTTATAACATTAAAACAATATAATATACCAATATCGTATTGCAATAAAAATGTGTGTTTGTGTGTGTTATTTTATACTTGTATCGTTATGCGTATAATATTAAGTCAGTGTGCCATTCATTGTATACTTATCATAATAATATGCTGTGTATACGCGTTTGAGAGAGGAACCCAAACCAAAACGACGGCGCAGTCAATGTTGTATAATATTATTATTACGATTTAGATTTTATGGATACCTATGTGTGTGTGATTTTTTTGTTTAATTTTATTGCGTCTCCAAACGACGTACATTTTTTTATTTTACATTTAGTTAGTCCTTAGGTAGTTGTAGTGTATACCTATCGTCGTGTAGACTGAGGTTTTAATTAGTTTTGCGTCTGAAATGTTCGACTAGAAAAAGGACGGACCATTCCGCCATTGAATGAAATATCTACATATGTACCTATAGGTTTTATTTTAATTATCGATAAAGCACATTCTACTGGAGTTATTATATGGGCATTGTATTGATATATTTATGTCATATAATGCGTAAGGTCTTTTAAAGCATATTATACATCATGCCATTATCATAGAAATTATAGATATAATATTTTATTCATCTGTCGATATGAGTAATTCGTGAATTTTCTGTTTTTTTCTACCATGTATAAATATTTTTAAACGGTTTATTGTGTATTATTCATCTATTATTGTTATAATATGTTTAATGTCTATGAAATTTTAATTATAATAATTATTGTCGAAGCGATCATATATTAATATATAATATTCATAGATTATTGTTTATTACTGCTTTTCATATTATATTATGACGTACCTACGATTTTACATTAGTGATTAGAAAAAAACTATTTTATACATTATATTTTTGCTTCTAATTAGAGTCCATGTTATGTTTGAAATGTATTTTTTTCTCTTTTTAGTCACACGCGTATTTTGCCCTCATTATTAATTTCATTTTTGTTATATTGTAAATGTCATATTAAGTTTCTAGTTATATAGGTATATAGTTACACGCAAGAGTATACGCTATGCTTATATTATATTAAAAATTATTTATAATTATTATTACTATATTATATATATTTTTTTTTTTTTTGATATTTTTATCATTCATACGTAGTGCCGTATTACACAATATTGTACTGTTATTTAAAAGATAGTAATTAATATTTATGTTCAAAAATTGTAAACTGTTTGTTTTTTCATCTATAAAAATACATCAGACTACTTATACTTTTATACTTCATTTTAATACGACTATTACATTTTTAATTTTAGGCATAGGCACTAATTTAAAACCCATTGTAAAAATCAAAATCCAGTAGCGTTTTCCATAATATACGACTGTACTGTTTACTATCTTCTATCTATATTGCACTGGCGCAATTTTTTATGTTTGATATTATGAAATATCAGTTCACAACTAGTGCAATTTTTATGTTTCACATGCGTGCACTCTGCCAGTTTTTTTCCACTTAGTGCAGTGATAATTGCACGAGCTCCTCATGACAGTGCGCATTATCTTTATTATTGATAAAGGTATATCTTTAATTTATTTTATTTATTGTATGCCACATTTGACGCAGAATATACATAAAAAGTTGTAACATTGAATAAAAATAAAATAACTCAAATATAAATGATAATAAACATAAATGATAAAAGTAATGTTCAATAGGGTTATAATTAACAATTTGTATTGCTTATTGTCTAATTTTAATATTTTCTCTATAGTTTGATGTCTAAGGTAGTTATCCAATCAAGAGCTTGATTTGTTAGTTTAAAGAAATCTTTCATTTCACCTACAATTAATGTTCTTTTAGGGCAATGCATAGAAAACCCACACCTTCCATAACCGGTTCTGACAAGATTTAAGGATACCCACTCTTGCCGGGGTAGTTTGAAACCTTCCATAGGTTGTGTGGGGTCAGCATTCTTGACTGCAAGATAATTCCATTCTGTACGCCATTCCGTGGTGTAATATCTTTAATATTACCTTATCTTGAATTACCTATAAAATACAAAATAATTGATATCATCATATTGATTCATAATCGTGTTCTACATATTATGATCCTAAACTCGAATGAAAGTTTATCCTATACAAGTTCTTGGTTGATATCATTTTCCCGCTCAACGTACGACCAACTGCATTCGTACAGTCTTAATCAGGGGCGGATCTAGGGGAGGGTTCAGGAGGTCAGCTGACCCACAGTTAATATTTTCTGATCAAATTGGCCTCTTTTCAGATCTTGAGTAGTTGGACACTTAATAAACACACATATAGTATAAATTAATTTTAGATTCTGAGTGGAACGATGAATGTATTGATTTTACAATGTAATTCTGTTACCAAAAAATCTAAAAAATACATAAGCACAGTTTATTTTTATAGTCATTTTAAGTTCAACTTTGGATAAAATTACATAAAAAAAAACCTAGAATAACTATTTTAGTTATTTTTTTGTGATTGTGTAATATTATTCGTGGGTAGGTACTTGAAACTTCTAAAGTACACTATTATATACCTATGGAGTATGGACTATGATAGTATCAGGGTTTGTTGTTGACGTATAACGCATTATAAGTACCTAATGGATATTGGGATATGATTAATTTGGAATTTATTATAGGTAAATTTTTTTTAACACGATAGATAAGAGAATAATATGCCTTATACCTAAGGTGACCATACGGCCCGTTTTGAACGGGACAGTCCCGTTTTTTGAATCTCTGTCCCGTTGTCCCCTGGGAAATCTTCGGGACGCTAAAATGTCCCGTTTTCAAAAATTAGACAAAAAAAAATAATGAAAATAAATGTTCGTTGACGAAATATAGTTTTTATTATATCTTATTTCTTATGTGTGTTAGGTATGTTTTGCTAACAAAAGTGAACTTTAAAATGTCTTGTACAGAATTTTACTCGTTCCTAAAGTCATCGCCAGATTTATAAAAACAAATTTGTTCAAACGAAAAATATACAAGTATTTAACTTTGTAATTATTACACGAAAACATTTTGTTTATAATAAGTTAGGTAGTAAGTGTAATAAGTTAATTAAATTTTTTTGTCCTTTAAAAACATAAGTACCACAGAAATTTGCTAATAATATTATTAAATTAAAAATATTTGTTTGTAACAAATAATTATGATTTTTTTTTTTTTTGTCTCGTTTTGATTAAAAAAATACATGGTCACTTTACTTATACCTAGACTGGCATATCGTCTCCGCTCAGAATCGTTTTTCTTATACAATGATATTATATCATTGAATTCAAATTTAATACTATCCATTATACAGTGACCCAATTGTAACCTACTGTACAGCGGAGCACCTTTTTTTGTTTTATATACCTAGTACACAAGTATAGATTTCTAATTTGGTTTTAATAAGTGGCCCCTTGAAATTTCCTGACCCACAGTTTCCTAACTCTGGATCCGCCCCTGGTCTTAATATAGAAAACGCTCTAAGAATTAAATCGTTAAAATACATTTTTGAGAAAATATTTTCAAGGTAGGTACCTATCATATTTGAAAAAAATTTTTCATATATTTCTACTTGTTTGACCGAAGATCAAAAAGATCCTTTTATTTGCTACTGTTTATTTTTGTCGGTTATGTATAATAAGATAACAATTTTTTCAAATTTCGAACTTTTTACTTCAAAGTGGTAATATTATAAAATAGACACATATTACAAGATTCCATAAAACTGTGAGAATAATATTATAGTTAAAATGTATATTCTTAATCAATAACGACAATATTTTGTTGTAAATAAAAATGTAAATGGATCGTTGGCTAAACAATTGAAAAAATACATTTGGATCAACCTCATCAAATAGAAATGAAAGAATATATATCACACCGACTAACAGTGTGAGTTCAAAAAGAACAAATAGTCCACCTAACAAACAATCTGATACTACAGTAAGTAAAAAAAGAAAATATGACAAAAATTATATCTCTATTGGTTTCATAGATGAAAATAGTTATTCACAATGTGTTGTATGTTGTAAAGTTTTTCCTAATACTTACGGCTATGGTGCCCACCAAATTGTGTGGTCATCTGGAAACTTACCATAAAGACGTGAAAGATAAACCTATTCATTATTTTATTCGAATGCGTGATCAACTTTTAAATTTTAATGAATAAGACCAAAATAACTGAAGTATCAAAAATGGCAAATGAAAAAGCTACAGAGCCATCTTATAATATGGTCAGTTATCGTATAACTCAGGATGGTAATGCTTAAACAATCGCCAAAACTCTCATTAAACATTGTGTGAGTGATATTATTAGTTGTAAAATGTTAGATGAAAAGTCAGTCAAAAAAATGAAAACTATTCTACTATCCAACGATACAGTTAGGTGTAGAATTAGCTACGATATATCAATTCACATAGAATCTGAATTAATACCTATAATATCGTTTCAAATGCCATAATTTTCCTTTATAAATGGACTATCTATAATGGAGTTCGAAGGATTTATTGAAATTACCACCGGATTCATCTTTAAAATCATTATTTGATAAAATATCATTAACAGATTTTTGGTGCAGTAGGTAGCAGCATATTACTAACGGATATCAACTTGTGGCTAAAAAAGCCCACTCACAAAGAACGTGGCTTTCTATATTGGTAAAATAATTTTCGAAATAGGTTCAGTAGTTCCAGAGATTGCTTTCGACAACTTTAACTAACGACTCCTCTTTATATAATTGTAGATTATAATTGTAGTTACCTAATAATAAATAATATATACATTATTTTTTATTTTTTCATAACAGGAGCCTAATTTAAAACTTTGGCCCCTGGCCCTCAAAATGTCTTAATCCGGGCTTGCCATTGGCCCACCAAAAATTATACAGTTTTTTCGTTGTCGAAAGCCCCCCGCTCACATTGATGTCAAAAATGTTAGCCCCCCTGAAATCGATTTCCACCTATCTACGTGTAATCCAATTCTAAGTTGAATATTCGTTTAACAGGGATTTTTTTTTCCCATACTATTAGATTCTGAGTGAAACGATGAATGTATTTTTTGTTGAGTTTAGGATTATGTCTATACTTTTCAGTAGGTAATATGTAATATTTTATGACACATAACTACATAAGTAATATGACCATAATATAGCTTTAATTAACAAATTTCCGAGAAACAACAATGTTGCTATTATTGTAATAATATGATGCTACTTTGTATACAATAATAAATTATAAGATTCAACAGTTTTCTATATGACTAGACTGCACGATGACCATCCACCTCTTAAAAACGTATGACTAAGAGTATCGACTAAGTGGTCATTATGACAATTTTTTCGATTGCGACATTCGACCATTCCAAATAAAATTCGTCATTCGACGGATTTCCTGCAACTGTGGTGAGTGAGTCTGTGACTTGTGCTATCAATTAATATTCTACAATTAAATACCATTGATTATCAAAACCATAATATTATATTAATTACACTAATTTGTTTTTATATAGCTTATATTTTACAATTAATGTCAATAAATAATAATCATATTTGTGCCACTATTAGGCCACACCCGAAATTGTTCATAGTTTTCATCGTCTTAAAAGTGCATAACGTGAACAATATTTAAAAGCAGCAGTTCGAGTTTAATTTCTTTACTTAAATATTAAATTTTTGTTAAAAATAATTATTTTTGATATTTTAATTTGAAACAAGTTATGTGCATTTTAGAACCGTAAAATTTTAAATATTTTACTCTACTTGACTTGTTTTAAAAATACAACAAACATTGATGTGATAATATACTCACCCTTAATGCCCGCTGTGAATTGAGAATAATTTAATAGCTAATTTGTATTCGTTTTCCAAGGTATTTGCAGTGTTCAATTGTATTGATTAAATATAGCCAAATAAATTGACGCCAAGATGTCTTCTAAACAGATTCAAAAATTTAAGGATGAAATTGAAGCACTAAAAAAAGTACCTACATTAACCTTATTTAAAGAAAGTTATAAAATTAAACAGTTTAAGATTTTAATAGTATTTTGATATTTTGCATAAGTAATATCACAATAAGAACATATTTTTTAACAGATACCAAACTGTATAAAAACATCAACTAAGTACTTAAACATTTTTAATTTATTTAGGAAAATCGTGATCAAAAGGAGGCACACGAAGAAGATATTCAATATCTAGAAAAAGTAAGTTAATCTATATTTTCATTTTTAATATTATAATATTATAATTTTAAATCATTTTGATGTTTTTGCATAAACAATAATTACTCTACACAGTAAAATATTTCATAATTATTAGAACATGAAAGTATAGAAACTTCACTTATACATTGTTTTATCTATTTAGAAAAATTGTGATCGTAGGTCTATTAACGCTGACTCCAACACTGAAATTGAACGTCTAAAAAAAGTAAGTTAACCTGTTTAAAAAAATATCTATGATTGAAAAATTAAAGTTTTTAAAACATATTAATAAGACACACAACAAAACAACGTATTCCATAATAAGTAACTAGTTTACATTTAAATTACATATTTTTAATATATTTAGAAAAATCATGAACTTGTGATTAAAAATCAGGAAATTGTAGACGAAAATCAAGATCTACAAAAAGTAAGTAAACATAGGTATTTCTTGTTAAAATATATAATTTAATAATTTAAGATTTTAATATATATTTTGAGGGTTTTCCATAAAAAAATTCCTTATAACAATATATTTCATTGTGAGAACATAACTGTATAAAAGTTTTACTTACATATTTTTAATATATTTAGGAAAATCTTGAACTTGTTGCTGTTAAATCTAAACTCAACGCTAAAATTGAGGAATATAAAGAAAAACAACAAGAAATAGAACAACAAGTAAGTTAACCTCTTTAAAAAAAAAAAAAAAATTAATTATTTGTATTTTGTTAAAATATTTCCATGTAACAACATCATATTTCATAATAGATAACTTTAAAAAAAAAACTTTAAATGTATATTTTTAAATTTATTTATGATAATCATGTTCTTGTTTCTAAAAATGAGGAATATGCAAAAGGAGTTTTTTAGTCAAAATTGAATGAATTTATTATTAAACATGTATGGTTAGGTTATAAAGTTTAGTTCCCAACAAAGTTTTGCGTTTATTTTATTATAAATAATGTAATAATGTACAATAATGTAATTATAATTTGTTATATGGGCTACATTTTGAAATTTGATTTTTCAGATCTTGGTTTGATATTAACTACTTTGAATTAATTTTGATTGCTTTATACTGAACAGTTTAAACCTATTTTATTATTATCTTTGATATTATAGACTATTTTTCATAACAAATGTGTAATCGGTCAAGTGGTAGAAATCGCCGAGTCCAAGATTGGTCGGCGAAAGTATTACCACCGTACTTACCACGTTATGGGTCAGTGGCTTAGTCTTTTTTAACCACCAGAATACATCTTAATAAGTTGTGAAAACAAGTTTAAATAACCGAATTTAAAAATATAAAATGGGAACTAAACTGCATTTGATCCATACTTTTTTTTTTTAAATTTTTTTTAAATTTTAGCTTTGTGCCAAATTTGAAAAATTGGCAGTTTATGCTGGCATTACTCTGTCACCTGTCCCGGTGGATAAATTACAACATGTAAGAACATAATAATTGTATACTTAATGTACTCAAACAAAAGTTTAAATAAAAGTTTATATTTTTAGTGTACGGAATGGTGGTGCCCAAAGCATTCAAAGTTTGCTACTATTGTTGATGAGTTGAAACAATCTATTGGAGAAGATAAGCTAATAATAGATCGTGCAAAAGCTAGGTTTAAATACTGGAATAGTAAACCTAATGGGGTAAGCAAATCAAGAACAAAAAAAATGTATAGGTTTACAAGGCCCTATCCATAAATTTTGAGGGGGGAGGGACCAGGGGGGCTGGACTCCCCTCAGATACGGCCTTATAGGTACATACATTTTTGAATCATGAGAGATTTTTTTATTTTTAGGAAACATGCTGCAAAAATAATCGTAAATATAAAGATAGAAACACATTTTTGCCACCATCAAATTGGCCAAAATGATCCAAATCAATGCGAATATAACCTTCTATATAAGAATATTGCATACAATAATTTTAAAAATATTAACATATTTTAGCTTTAAAATTCATATTCCATTATATTTTGATATTTTATTATGATATTTAAATAATAATTATTTAGTAATAATTAAATATGCATACTATAATAATTAGTATTTACATATTGTCACATGTTAAAGTACATAATATATGTAGGTACAATTCTTAAATGTTGGAATACTTATTTATTAATACATTTAAGTTCTAAAATTAAACTTTTAATAAAATATATTTATCCTTAACCATGTTTCTACATAATTTAAAAATATTTAATAGTTTTCATAATGTATGTGTGCTTATTACGTATATTCTGTAAGCAAATAAATAAAATATAAATTAGTTACCTAGCCTACTGTATCTCTTCAAGCCCCTCTCCCTAATTGAGTCTTACTTTATAGGTTTCCAAAAAACTAATTCAAATTTTCTGATGGTAAAACCAACTTACAAATATTAAGATACTGAAGTACATACATTTATGTCCTTCGTTTGAGAGACCAATATTAATGCTCCAATAAGTGGAAAAAATTGTGCTTTTAAAATTATTGGTATAAAAAGAATAATTTCACTTTTGAGAAATCGTACCTACCGGGCAGGTATGTCAAAACCACTGAGAACACCGGTGGGATATGAAATAAACTGTAGTTGTCAATTTTAATACGATGTAGACCCAGACAACAAATATTTGTTAATGATAATATTATATAATATGCTATAGTTAACGAAAAGAATAAAAATATTTTAAAAAAAAAATGTTCAAATCACCACTTCAAATAATTAGAAATAATTGCCAACTCTATGCCAACATGCTTGTTTTTGTGCATACTCGTTTCTCATATTGCTTCTTAATACTAATCTTAATCGTGCAGGAGTTAAAATGAAGTTCCCGGTAATAGTCTTAGAATTGGCAAGGTGTACTGTTCTTTTCAATTCATTCAATAATGAATTATTCAAATCTGGTCGCTCCGTGCGGTTTTTATTATTCAATGTACCTATAATTAACAAGTTCAGAATAAGTGTTTTGTATTTGTAATATAAGTGGTGCGTTAAGTATCTATATGTGGTTTGAGAGTTAATTATTATTAAAAGATTGAGTTTAAGGCCATTAACCTAAACCAAATGGTTATTCTGTGGAATATTGTAAGACACACATGTGTTGCGTACACCTGCTCACAGGAACAGTGACAGGATAAGATGACGTAGGTAGTTGTAATAATTATCGTATACTAATTGAAATTATTATTGTATGTTGTCGTTTATTAAAAATGCACAAGATAATGTCATAAGAATGTAATATAAACTGCTCTAGATTATCTAAATCAACGAAGATCGCTGGTATGTTAGAAAATATACAATTTATTAAGCCCATTGGCTTTTTATTACCTTAGTAAAAAGTTTTGAGAGGGTGGTGGATTTTCAATTTACCCCTACTTTTTTTTTTTGATCCACCCCCTTTCAGAAATCATGTGTGTTATTACCCAAGACACTGTACCTAGTAAGAAGGTATGTGCTAAAAATGTATATAGTTATAAATATATTGTTTAACGACTTGATGTATAATATAATTTATTGTAGGTACAAACACTAATAATCGATAAAAGTACACATCTATTAGTAGTTAGTTTTTTAGTATTAGTATTAATATATATTTGTATCCATAACCAATGGTAATAATAATATGTATGTCTCGTTCAAAGATGTCCGTTGTTTCCTTCGTCTTAAAAGTACACAATTACGGACAGCAATATTTACGATTAATATTCGTTAATTTTAATGTTGGAGAGAATTACGCATTAGTATTAACATATTATAATCATAATTAAAATGTGACAACACATTCTGTATTCTGTTGGAGGACTTGTTTTTTTTATCGATATTTTTCAACGAGTTGTGGACATTTTTAAATTATAAAATTGTAAATGTATTGTGACTTAAGTAACGTTTCAGAGGACGTTCCCTGCTTTCATAATTCAATTCAGTTTTTCATTTACATTTATTTATCAATTTAAAAAAAACATTAAGAATAATTCATAAAACACTAAATTAAATAATAAAGATTGTAAATATTCTACACGTTTATGATTCGCTGTAAGTGCGATGGAAACCAGTTGTGGTTAATTATGTAATTTTAAAAGTACGTGGGTGAAATTATTTTTAGCAAGAGTGCATTGTGCCATTGTGCATAATGCACGTGCATACGTGACGCAGGATGGTAGTATTTTACCTAACCCTCCGCGGGGCCAATAGCCATTTAGTAATAAATAATATACAAGTAAAAAAGAGATAAATACATATATATTGCATGCACATATTATTTTCACATTACCATAATACATTAAGTCTTAATAAATGATTTGACAAAATAAAATATTATGAGCACAAAAATACAAATTAGTTTAAATAGCTAAATTATTAGTAACAGATAGGCGACAGACCAACAAAGAATTCAAGTTTTTTTCCAACTATACGTTGAGTGAGATTACATAGAAATAGCTGCAATTTGTAAAATATATAGGTTCCTGTATTCCTACACATCACCCTCCGAAATGTTTAAAAGTAGAATTAGAGTTTTTATATTTTGAACGTAAAAATGGCAAGTGTCCATAGTATCCATATTCCATGTGAAACAATTTTGGACCAACAAGAAATTTTTTCAGCTTCCATAAATCACTAGTTATCCAATTTCAAAAAATAATACCTTCAATAATAGTAAATTTGTTACATACCTCCAGTTTCTAATTGGGGTTATACGAGAAAAATTTAATAACTCCACCAAGTCTAAAATGTCAGAAGCAAAATGATCAAATTTTGAAACAATTTTTATGCTTTCACTAATTTTATATATTTTCTACCTCTACTCCATTTTAAGTTTAATCGTCAAACTATGTAATTATTCAACAGAACCTTGAACATATAACTATTTTACATTGATATAATATGATAATAATTATAATAATAATTACAATTGATGTTATAAAATATTATGATTCCAATTTCGTATGATATGATATGTACTACGTATTCGTGTATCTATAAATATTAATTAGGTAATGTAATTAGTAACCATTACACACACACACACACCAGCATTTCAAATTAGACGTGTGCTTGCTATATAATGTCATTGATTATTATTAATTTGATATCATAAAAGATTACTGAGCCTCACTGAGTTAAAAACTCGTGTGGAGGCCCAGGATTTAATATGAACACTTATATAAGTACCTACATAATATTTGTATTAATTATTAGTATTAATATAAACAATAATTAGTTTATTCAGTTTCCATGTTAGAGTGAATTAACATATTATTACAATTTAACAATTATGTTTAAATGTAATAACATTGTCTGTGTTTTGTTGGAGGCCATGTTTTTTCAGACATTTTAATTTTGAAGTAATTTGTGGAAATGTTCAAACTTTATAATTACAATATTTTAAATGTAATACTGCCACTGGACATCCTCTGCTTCCAAATTTGAAACAGTTTTTCATTTAGGTATATGTTTATATATTTAATACAATTTTAAAGGAAATACACAATCATTTTTTTAAACATTTGAAGGTTGGAAATGTCAACAATTTGCAAATTATTTTTCAGTTAATATTTCTAAAAATTTTTTATGTTCATAACTAAGAATTCAAAGATTAATACAAGGTTCATCATAAACTGTTATAACTGGAATTATAAAAAAAAAGATGACCGTAATTCGACCAATATTTTAAATAAATAAATCAGGGCTTGAAACCGAAAAAAATTTTTCCGGTTTTGGTTTCAGATATCGGTATTTATGTTTTCCAATTTCGGTTTCGGTTTTAGATATCAGTATTTATGTTTTCCGATTTCGGTTTCGGTTCCATATACCGGTATTTATTTTTTCCGATTTCGGTTTTGGTTTCGGATACCGGTATTGACTTTTTTCGATTTCGGTTTCGGTTTCGGATACCGGTATTCAATTTTTCTGATTTCGGTTTTTAACGGTTTTGACCGGTATTCAAAAGCAGTATCGAATATCGGTTTTAATCCCTGTAACTATAAAAATTTATTCTTCGTTCAAATATCTAATTTCGTCTAAATGTTAACTTAAATAACTAAAAAAAACTATATAGGTATATATTTTTTGAAAATTTTCAGTTACAGTATGAATTACTTACATGGAACCTATTTTTACCTTAGCTATACAAATTTAACATTTTATACATTTTTAAGTTTTTAGTTGCAAAATAATTTTTACATTTTCAACTTGATAACGATATTTAATATCATAGAAGATAGAACTATAGAAGACGTATAGAATATAATAGAAACGACGCTCGCTCAAACAGCGATCGATTTAATTACATTTACAATAATTGCTTTTTTGGAGGCTCCATCCTCCACATGATGTTATAATAAATAATTATATCTTATAAGTTATAATATATTTAACATTCATTGCATTGTATGATAGAAGGATAGAAAAATTTTACATAATTTACACGATATATTATTTTCTACCATAGTTATGCAGTATAAATTATATTATTCATAGCTTTTAAACAGAAATTCAATTATAGGTTTATTTTAATTTTTAAATGCGTAGAGCTATTTAAATGTTAGATATTAATGTTATAATTTTTCAACTTCCATTTCGGATAGAATGTTATTTTTTAAGATTTCGTCATAAGTTTATAAAAACGGTATAATTTTTTCCGATTTCGGTTCCGGTTTTTACCGGTTTAAACTGGTATTCAAAATCGGTATCGAAAATCGGTTTGAAGCCCTGAAATAAATATATAAAAAAATAAATACACTCTACCATATAACTAATAAATAACAATATAACCTTGTATTACATTTTCAAGCTTTTTGACCCAACGAATACAGTTTAATTGACATTAAAAGGAAAAAAAACTAAAAACAGGTGGGTAAGTCGTAAGTGGATGTGGCTCTGCTGTACAGT